TAAATGTAAAAAACCAAAAAGCCACAAAAGGCTAAGTATACAAATTATGTTTACTACGTGTGTGTGTGTGTGTGTGTGTGTAGAAAAAAGCCCGAGGGCAAATATATTAATACGGAAAAGATACAAAAATGTTGTATGAGAGGGCTTAAAAGAAAGCTCAACTCATGCAATACAATACACACAAAACTCAAATAAAACAAATATACATAAATGTAAAAAACCAAAAAGCCACAAATGGGGGCAAAAAGTGTTAGGGACGTCCCACTTTAGTCCTCCTGCCTTTAGTTCCCGGAAGTGAGCCGGCTAACAAATTAGTAAGGTGAGTACCATTGCCCGTAGTAACCAAAGTATGATCCATCAGATTCCTGAGCTCAAGTAGATCTTCATTCTTCTTCTTCCTCTTGGATGTGTAGACCTGTTATTCCTCATCCGATGATTGACTTTTCTGATCAATAGATTTCGAAGGTGGTCGGACAGGTGTAGGTCATTGCACGTCTTGATCCTCATGAGTCTGAGTAATATTAACATATTTTTGGATCCGATGAGGAGGTAGTGAAACAGTAGAAGTATTTCCACTTGTATTATCAGAGATAGGTTCTAGGGCAGGCATGGTCTGAAGAAACTCCCTCTCTCTCTTCCCAACAATAGAAGGTTCCAAAGATGAGTGAGCTATAATTGGAGTCTGAATAGTTTTCACCCCCAACTCGGACCAAAAAAGAAAACTATTCCGCTAGAGGCTGTGATTTTATCTCCTCCTCATCAGCGCTCAGTTTTTGACACTATTGATCATCAGAAGGATATCCCAGATGACTTCACTATCCATGCAAACAATATATATATATATAATAATATAATGATAAAAAGTATTATCGAATTTGATATTTTCATACAACATTGTTAGTTCTAAATGATGTATAATCAAGTCTCAATCAAACTAATTGTACAAATGGTACTAAAATTAGTCTAATATGAGTCAAATCAAGCTTAGTTCAAGTTATTAAACCACTTTTTGAAGGCTTTCTAAACATATTTGAAACATTAAAAATATGTCAAATTTGACGAGCTTATAGTCGAATTGAGTATCCCAACAAGACAAATCGAACGAGACCAAGATCACTCAATTTTGACATTGTCATGACACTTAAATATCCATCAGATGTCGTCTGATTGAGGGAATATCTCCGAGCCATTGCAATTGGAAATCTATAAATTGAACTCTAGAACCTGGAGCTTGAACCTTCAAGAAGATTGAAGTTTGGTGGAGTTTGTAGCACTTTCCCTCATGTGGCGACAAATACATCTGATGTAGTAGCTCGGGAGACTATGTAGTCATTTTCCCCGTGTGGGATGAGGGATTATATTTGTAACCATTAATTTATAGTATATCTCTTCAACCGGTCCAAACGCCGTAGTCTTTTCCCTTTTTAAGATTTCTAACGTAAAAAATCTTCTAACATTTCTGCACATCATTTCCTATTTTTGAGTGTACTGGATTCTCGTGCAATGCTAAGACGCTAGTTAATCATTCTCTCTCCGCATCAGTTATACTTATATCACATAAATACTTAGTATCACATTAAAATTATTATTTTTTATATTAAAAAAATAAAATACAACTTTTCAACCATAAATAAAATGGTATGCATGTAAAAGTTAAGTTTAAGTGCTAGATATATAAATATATAAAAATTGAGTTGTGGTTATGTAAATCTTTTTGTCTAATATTGTTGATCTTATATTGCCTGCATGCATAAAAGTTTAACTATAGTTTATAATATTAAAATTTAAACGCAAATGTTTTTAAATTAACCTAAAATAATAATAAATACATAAAGAAGTATTCAATTATTTATTAATATTTATAATGTACAAACTCATGCTAAAATTATCTCAATTTCTTTTTTATCAAAATAAGCTTGCAAAACAGATTATTTATAATAACTTAATAAGCAACAATGTGCTGTTAAACTTTGATTAAAAGATAGTTTAATAAAAAAAAATTATGTGTGCATTAAAATACATAAATTCAAACGAACATACTTGTTTTTAAAAAACTTTTAATTTGAATGCTATCTACTTCATTTGAATGTTAACACTCTAATGATAATCATCTTTCAATCTGCAATATTTCCATAATATCAAAGAATCAGTTTCGAGAATAATGAATTTCCAGCCACATTTCTGAGCCACCTGAAGACCAAATACCAAAGCATCAACCCCAGCAACTAAAGGGGAGACAGGAAAAGCACCAGCCGAGAACCAACGTATAATAGAACCCAAAAAGTCTCTGCAAACTCCCCCAACACTAGCACAATTACTTTTCCAACATCCATCAATGTTTATTTTGATGAAAGGTGCACACGGTTTACTCCAAGGCACCAAAGAAAAAACTTTAGTTTTGATAATAACAGGTAAATCTAATCTCTGCAGTAAAGCCATCAATTTACCATTAGTCTTCATAGTAGAAGACATCAATTGTAACCCTTTCGATAGATAGGAAAAAATCAAGCTAAAAGTATGATGCACATTAGGAACCACATAACCACATTATTAAATTTAGCATTATTAAATTTAGCATCATTCCTAGCAATCCATATAAATCAAAGAGTAATAGCAGGTACATCAGTGAAGAAATCATGACCATTATTCCTCCATTTATTGAAAATATAAGAAATATTCGTAAACTGCATCGAATTCAACTGCAGTTTCATAAAAACCTTCATCCAAACGTCAACAACAAATTTGCATTCAACAAAAATATGAGCACTAGTTTCCTCATGATTTTTGCAGAGTACGCAGTAAGAAAGAAGTCAGAAGCCTTTTAGTTTCAGAAAAGCATCAGTAGGAATAATATTATGAAATATTCTCCAAATAAAAAAAGAAATTGAAGGCTTGACCCAAGGGTGTATTAGGACCAAGTTTCATATATAAGCTGTTTATGAAATGCATTATTACTATTACTCATCAAAGATGCACTACACTCAAAGAGTAACTTCATATGCTCTTGATTCAAGTGAGTAAAATTCACATATAAGCTGTTTATGAAATGCATTATTACTATTACTCATCAAAGATGCACTACACTCAAAGAGTAAAACTTTGAATTACACTTCACAAATACCACAAATAATATTAATAAACTTACGGATTACATCGTTCATATTTTATAATACAATACAATCATCACAACCAACGATACACAGACATTTAAAACAACATCACAATAATAACAAAATGTAACACAATTGATATTTAAAACAGGAACGTCAAGTCATCCTCCCTTGACCATCTCTTGAACGAATGTTCTTTCAACACACTCTAGATCATATAAATCAGTGCGTTGATAGGTAAGTTGCATTCACAATAAATTTTACGACCTCCGAAGCCTTTAGAGCTATTCTGTTCTGTGAAGAATAAGCTGAGTTCATCTTCTACAATACAATGACAATAAAGTAAGAAGCAATTGTGAGAAACAAACTAAACCTTGTATTAGAACAACTAAGAATATGGTGCGAAGCTGTAAGAATCTTATATATACCAAATAACCTTTTCTTGGCATAAAAACCCTACTGTGAATAAAATCATTGCGGGATACGTAATATAGGATTTTTTGAGTGCATGTTAAGTAAAACCTAAAGATTTTTTTTGCCTTGGGATGTGAAACTTAACCCCTTTTAGCAAGCAAACCATGGCGAGAATGATGGCGAAGACTGGAGATCCCAGGATTCCATCGAATTATTGTAAGCCATGGTTCTTGTCTAATGAGACATTTATTTTGACCGTAGCTAAAATATAATTTTGTGCTTTAATTATCAAGTGTCTTATATGGTAGAGATTTAGGTGATTGGAAAACTTTTGAGCTCTAACTGTGACTCTAATTTAATGGTGTTGATTTATAACAAACCACCCAATCAAAGAGCCATTGTAATAATTATATCATTTTTTTTATTGTTATTTTTGACAAAATCACAAGGTCAGAAGATACATGCCACATCACTACTAGTATGGCATAACTAAAAGTGAAAACAGTAATACATATATATGACACTGATATTTTGTGAGCTCAAGTCAATCTTGAATTTATCACTCTTAACAAAATGTTACAGCTGGTGGTTGAATTGTTGCTTTAAGGTTTATATCAATAGATTTCATTTTATATAAGGCACTCAATTCTTTTGTATCTATATATCCAGCACACTTAAAACTTCAATTTAACATACATGCCACCTTTTTCGCATTTCAAAAGTTAAAATAGTGGTAATTTTGATGTAATATAAAAGATTTGGGTGGTACAAACGTAATAATAAAAGTTCAGAGGTTAGATATCTAACACACATGAACTTCAGTTTTAATAAACAAGCCACCTTCCCTATGCATAAAAAGGTGTATTTTACATTTCAAAAGTTAAAATGGTTGTGCAAATGTAATAATTAATGTTCAGATGTTAGATAAGTAAATAAATAAGAATGGGATGGTATGTATGCAAATGCCCCTAATATTTAAAATAATATATATATATATCAAGTCTTAGAAAATTTTTATGATAATAATCCCTCCATAGACATTAATTTTATCTAGAATAAAATAAATTTTATCTAGAATAAATTATCAGTGTAAAGTTCACTCTAGGACCCAAATTCAAAGTCACTAGCCGTTCTAATCAAATTTAAAACAAATAAGAAAGATTTCCTCTTATTGAATTGAGAGAAAGCAATCTGTGTGAGATGGTGAAACAATTTGGAGGCCATGAGAGGTTCGTTCACCATCATTGTCAAACATGCTAAACATTTATTACACTTTTTTCATATTCATAAACAATAGCAAAAATGATGAGATTATTTTGAATATCATAGACAACACATGCAAGTTTTCAAGGCAGCAAAAAACAATAAAAAAAATAATCTAAGTTGAAACCAGGATTTCAATTATAATTCAGCTAGTAGTACAAAAAACAAAGTTCAACATTCTTTGCTAGAAATAAACTTTAAAATTTTGTTACCTGTGTCTGTAGAATTTTGGTTAACACTAGTTTGTGGGTTCATTGGAGTATTTTGTTGGGTCTTCGTCTCCATTGAAAGCATTTTCAAGGAAATCTTTCTTAGATAATCTGACTGAGTATCATGAAAAATGTGAAAATAAGAAATGAGATTCCAAGCGCATAGAAAGACAATAGTTTAAAAGTATAGCTTCTATTCTTACAAAAGTATCAAAAATCAAACATCAGTTGAAGTCCAAAGCCCGCACATTTCCATACTCCACATACAAAAGATGAGGCTATCAAAATTCCATGTACATATTAAAGACTAAACTCTTCAGCGCAAAAATATAATGATTGATCTCCTCAGCAGGTATTCAAAGTGGGAAACCACTATGAAATACTGCACTGGAGTGGAATTTGATACAATCAAGTATCAGATTATTGTTGGCATAAAAACAATACATTGCCTGGTGCACCTTAAAAAATCACAAGCCAACAGCAGCACTAATGTTATCGGGACATTTTTTATATAGATGCATATTTTTGTGAAATCAATCAAGAGTTTAGAAAGCCATTATTACACAGAAAATGCATGCACCTGATTGACAGCAGCAATATACATCTTTTCTTCAAATCGTACAGCCATGTTCTTGAGTTGGGTCGTTCCCTCAACAACATCAACAGAAAGAAGCCTTCTTAGAATTTCCATTCTAGTCATAAAAAGTAAAAAAGCATAAACTATAAGCCATAACGTAAACAATTTAAAGTCTAGAAATTATAACATCAATACATTCCCATGTACATGAACCACTGATTTATAGGATATCATGATAAAAGTAAGGTTAATAAAACTAAGATATGCTAGTTGCACAATGCACGGGTCGAGTAACATAAGCAACATAGCTCAGCATTCAAATTGTATTTTCATTTTAAGAGAAAACATAACCACAAACTACAACAGATCACACAACACTTATGATTCTCGCGTGCCTTGTTGATCTGTCAAAATTTAAGAAAAGGAAGAATTTTACACATTCCACTCAATTCTTATTTATTTACATATCGAATACCTAAACTTCAATTTTTACATACATACCACCATATATACGGACTGAAAGATGTATTTCACATTTTAAAAGTTAAAATGATGGTATTTTTTATGTGATATGAAAGATTTGGATGGCAAAGATGTAAAAAATTAGAGTTTGAGCGTTACATGTGTAAATACATAGGAATTAGGTGGTATGTATGTAAATGCCCCTAAAAAAAATTATAACCAAATACGAATCTAGCCAGGCTATGATGACAAATGACTTGGACCTTAAAGACATGATTCCCTGTTGCCGCACTTCATTCTAAAAAAATGCCATTTATTATGAACCAAGAAAGCTTTAAATAAGAAAACCCTAAAAACGGTATGTAAATGGCGACAAGTTCAGAAGATAATCAGCAATTAGAATATGATATGTAAATGGCAACAAGTTCAGAAGATAATCAGCAATTAGAATATGATGCGCTTGAAATGCCTCTTGAAAAGAGGTTATAAAAAGATTGTCACAGGGTTCATTCAATTGTATTGTGTAAAATTTCAAGCCTTTGCTTCTTTCTAAAATAAACAATAATATTTCTTTTGAAGCAAGACATGAAGCAGCAAAATATTCTGACAGGCAGGCAAGCGTTTTTTAATGAATTTTTCATATTCATCCTGCACATGCCAATCAGAGGAGGAAAAAAACCTAATCCATTGATTCAGATTATGAATTATGTATACAAAAAGTTTTCATATCCCTCGCCGCATTAATCCCTATCCTTCGGAAACAAACAACAAAATTTCCCGCATAGGCTCCGCTCAACGAACAGGATAAAACCTAATCAAGGCAAGTAATAAAAAGATAACGATCTGGTAAGAAACGAGGAAAGGGAAGACTGGCCTCACATCTTATTTACGATCCTTTGCCTCATTTCGGGCTGAAGTTGGGAGCGCCAGTCGGAGGAAGGGATTTCCATGGAGGGAGGCTCGCCGTGACCGGGCTGCAAGTTGTTACTCTCCATCTAAAGAAGTCGAGGTTGGAACCACCGGCGGATCCTGAGGGGTAAAAAGAAGATGTCGGTAACGGCGATCGGCGGAAATCGGAGGGTCGGAGGGAGACTACCGGCGGAGAGGTTGGAAAAGAGAACTACCGGCAATACCAATCTAATCGGTCGAACAAAACTGAATGATAACGAACAAAACCGTTTTTTATTAATAATATTATTAGTTAAAAAAATTATTTATTTGTTTATTTTTGGAGGGGTATTTACAAAAATATCCTCTAATTTCTGTATTTTTACATATTTAATTTCTATACTTTATTTTTTACATTCGTATCACATAAAACTTTCGTATTACATCAAATTTTTTTTTATATATATTTTAAAGGTGAAATACAATTTTTTTGGTGCATAAATAAAATGATACGCGTGTAAAAATTAAATTTAGGTTAGATATATGAATATATAAAAATTGAGTAGTGCGCATCTTTTTTTTTTTTTTTTTTTTTTTTTTTGGGTCTAATATTGCTGATCTTATATTGCCTCATGCATAAAAGTTCAACTATTGTTTATAATACTAAAATTTACCTAAAATATATAATGAATACATACACATTTTTTGAAATTTATAATGTACAAATTTTTATGCTAGAAATGTTTAGTACATTGATTCGGTAGTTCAATAGATTTTGCCAATAGTAGTATGTTGCTTGTTAGGGTTTAGTCCTTTTTTGTTTTCCATTTTTTTGCCTCCAGGCGCTCCCTATGTTAAGGTTGTGTTCAAGGACAGGTAGTGCTCTAGTTGTATCCTGCTCAGAGATAATAATTTGTCCTTGATTATCTCCACACGCTCCCTTCTCCCTGTTTCAGTCGTTGGCCACCCTCTTCCCTCCTCTATGTTCCAACCACCGGTCACCCCTTTCCCTCATATGTGCTCCAACTACCGACCTCCTGTCATCCTCCTCTCGTGTTGCTTACATTGTTGCTCACCCATCTGTCTATTTAACTCCCCATCTCCAATTGTAGACCTTCCCTCACCTCGCTCCCGGGTTCCTAACCACATGTTTATGCCCACGATTGCAATTGCAGACCACCTGCACTACCTTGTTTCATCCGTCAGCCACAGCGCAATCACACCACCGTTAGGGGTGTCAAAAATTGACCCGCCACGTCAACACAATTTGAACTCGACTCAAAAAATTTGGGTTAGGATTGTCGTAATTTTTTTTCAAGTTGGGTTCGGGTCAGAGAATTTGACCCGTTTATTATTTGGGTCGGGTTTAGGTTGAACCTGAAATCAAAACATTACCCAAATAAGCACGAAAGTTTGGGTCGGGTTCAGGTTTCGGTTTTCGACTCGTTTATTATTTGGGTTAACACTATAAGTAGGGTCAGACTCGAACCCGAACCACTGACCCGAATTGGCACCCTTAACCACTGTTATCCCCGTATATTCCTACTCAGACCTAGTCATATATTCGTATTGTTGTGTTTTCTATTTCTATTTGAGTCTCAATTGTAACCCATTCTATTTCGAGTAATAATGTTTGACTCCATTACTGTGATTTGGATTAAATCTGATACCATTTGTTATCTTAACTAACTTAACTAGTTCCATACTAAAGTTTCCTAGCATTCATCTTGCCCCCTCCAAAATTTTTTTTCCTATCTTCAACCACCCTTTCTAATACCAAACTCTAATTATGCCACAAAGGACATACATGTCGAAACCTACTCGGGAAGAGATATAGCGGTAGATCCATCAGCTTCAATAGAGGCTCTTGGAAATTGATGATGGAACCTAGGGGAAGATTACCCTCGATCACGATCTGGAGGGTCGATGGTGAGATAGGGATGAAAATTTGAATTTGTTTCATAAAGAAGAAGTCAGTGATGAGGAATACAAGCCCCGCTGCTTCAGGATTCAATGTTAGAGGAGACCGGAAGAGAAGTCCACATATGGAACACAAGGATTTCTACATAAGCTGAAACTATCAGAGTTTAATGGAGGTTAAATTCGTAGGACTTTATCAACTGGTTGCAATCTGTTGAGTAAGCCTTTGAGTATAAGAAATTTTTAGAGGTTAAATGGGTAATATTAGCAAGCATCAAATTGAAGAAAAGTGCCTTCTTGTGATGAGAAAACTTTCAAAGGTGGAGGAGGGGAGAAGACAACAATAAGATTACCAAGTGGGAAAAGATGGGGAAAGAGATATAAATGAAATACATTCCATCTCATGACCACCAACATATATTTTGAGACACCACCACCTACAACAGAGAGAGTTATCAGTGGAGGAGTTCATAACACAGTTCGACTAGATGTAGATAAAGTGAGAGTTAGTCAAGCCAGATGAACACACCATAGCCTGTTACCTGGGGGCCTGAAGCACGCTACTGGCAATGTTGTGAAATTACACTAAGGATGTCCAGACCACATCATTGAAAATGGAAAGAGAACAAAAACAGAGAAGGCAACATTCTTCAGTCAGGCAGTCACCTACAGCTACAACGATCGTTAAGGGTGCCTTTGGAGGAGAACAAGATAAAATAGGGGAGTGATAAGGCATATTTGAGTGGAAAAAAATAAAAAAAAAGGTTGCTCACAATACAGTGTCTATCAAGAGGTGTTTCAGATGTCATGGCTACGGGCACATAAGCTTTATTTGTCCCAAATGCCGAGTTGTTTCATTCACATATTAGGGCATCGTCGAGGAAATGGAGGAAGAGGAACCAGAGGATAGTCCAAATGAAGAACTTTAGCTCCTAGGTGATAAGGAAGAGAAGTTAGTCATACAAAAATTTCTAAGGATAGAGCAGAAGAGAGATTAGTCATGATTGAAGCACAATATATTTTTGCACTAAGTGTACGGTGAAAGGCAAAGCTTGCAGTTTGTTCATCGACGGAAAGCTATGAAAATATTGTATCTATATCGTTGATGAAGAAATTGGGATTAACCATAAAAAACATCCACAATTATATTATCTTACCTCGCCAAATGGGAAAAATGAGATATAGGTAGATCAATTGCGCTTGGTTGAATTCTCAATTGAGAATTAATTACATGAGTAATTGTGATGTTATGTGGCTCCAATAGACACATGCCATATTTTATTGAGGAGGCATTAACAATTTGACTGTAGTAATTGTGGTGCAACGTAGTTCCAATAGTCTCTAAGTTTGGTTACATCAGATAAATGCGTAGAGTTAATAGTGTCCAGGAGGTTATCTTCCTGCAAAATGAACTTAACTTTATGGAGAAGGTGTTAAACATGCACTCCTGATTAGTGGATTTGAGGTAATTATGCCCCCCACTATGCATAACCGATTGTTATTGAGTCTCCCATAGGATCTCATTTTAAGATTTCTCCATTCTTTGTTTATGATCTTTATAAAGAGCAAAGGAGATTCATTCATGAGTTGGGTGATGCATATCTTCGAGAAACAAAGTAGAAGCTTGATACCTTGAACTTTGACGCTGCACACCTTAGAATTGCAAGTATTAAAGCGAGAAGCTTGTGTATTACATTGTTGGTCATTGAAGAAGTGCAAACTTAAGTAAAGAAGACTTCTTTCCTACAAACAATTTTGAACTATTGCGTGCCAAAAAATTCAAGTCAGTAGAGTCATACTTTAATGACTTAGTGTTATACAAAAATCTAACACACACAAAGATAAATGAGAAGCAAAGTGAGAAGACACCAATAATTTTTATGTGAAAACTCTAAAAATGGAAAAAAATCATGAAGCCTAGCCCAACCAAAATAATCAACTATGTGTTTGTAAATAGAGAGCGATCCGACTTTTTTGTTGCGATAGATTGTGCAAAATTTAATTAAATATAATCAATTAATATTCGGATTCTGCGCAAGTATACATATCGTTATCAAGTAATAATGAACTTTCTATTTAAGCCCCAAATATCGATCCTACAGGGAATGTTTAAAGTAGAAATGACAAATTTGCTAGGAAATTCACAGAAAGTCAATTGAAATCACTGTCACTAATTTCAATTATTGAGATGTAATCAAAATTAAATTTTTAAACTATTATCAAATCAAATATGCAAAATTTAAAACAGTAAATACTAATCTATTAACTATGTTTATGTAACGAAGATTCTTATGTGAAAAAGTGTCATTCCCACTACAATGAGGCTATGGTAAAATGAGATGAGATAAATGTTCATAATATGTATTGCGCCAAATATGAGTAATTTTAATTCTCTACCCTGATACAATGCATAAAAAATCATTGGATAATATCAGTGTATAGTCCCTAAATCAGTGACTAGGCTAGGAGGATGTCGGCTCCCACTCCAGAGCTCCCACTTCGCTTCACCTGAAGGCTAGCTCACTAATTTCAATTATTGAGATGTAATCAAAATTAAATTTCTAAATTGAAGATTTTAGTAGATTTTAGTCTGTCACCCTAAAGGTTCTCCAATTCTACACCCAACAAAGAATATTTCTCTATTTATTTGCACTTAATTCCAAAAACAATGTTCCCCTTCATGGAATCAAATGTGATCCTTACTCTGTTGTAGAACTCATACTCTATTTCCCAGATCATATGTTTCACAACACATTTTAACAATTCAATTGGCCAGATCAAAAAGTAAATTAAGTTCGGAGTTGAAAAATCATCACAATTTATTTTACAATTTAATATTGACACATTCATATTATCTCTTCATTTCACCATATCTCAGAGTAGGAAGAAGATAGACGGAACTACTAAGACTTCATGAGAAATAAATAACAAAACACAAATTTCATATATAAAAGAAAGTTCATACAACACTGATAAATAAACAATGCAAAACTCTTTCTCAAAGCACAAAGCAAATTCTTTATAGTCTTTCCTTAGAATGCAAGAAGAAGATATCTCTCACTTTGCTCCTTCTCCAACACTCTTACAGAAAATTTCACACTAAATCTCACCATAAAAACTCTAAACTATGAAAATAAATCACTAATGGACTCCAATATGAAAGTAGAATGTGATATGGTGCGAAAAATGAAAGTAGAGGAGTTAAAAACATAGAGCAACACTTTTTCTGATGAAATTTGACCCCAAATAGAGCCCAAGGTCGTTCTCCAAGAGGTGACTCCAAAAACTCTTCAAAAATCATCCAAATACATCGAACCTTCTAGAAACAGGGTCTGCATCGCCTTTGGCGCCGTCGGCTAGTCTGGCGCTGTCGGCGATGAGTAAGAAAATCTCCGCGTTAATTTGTTCTGCACCACCGGCGCTGAGCATTTCTTCAAAAACATCATTTTGACTCCAAATTTCATCCGTTTTACTTTCTTTTTGTTTTAAGCCCTAAAAATCAACAACTTGCAAGAAAATATCAAAATACCTTCCATTAAAGTGCAATATCATAAAAAATATGAGTTTAAAAATGCGTATATTTTTGGTGTATCAAAGAGGTGCATCATTCTCTTGTAACGGGGACAATAAGGTTATAATCTTACACCGAAAAATTACGCTTGTCTTTATACAACACAAAGAAATTATAAGTGTTTGGCATAATAGTCGTATTTTGGCTTCAACGGTTGCAAACAGCGGTCGACAGTGACTGACAGATGACGGTCAATGGTGGTTGAAGACTATAGAGGCCAGTAGTTACTCGTCAAGTTTTTTTTCCTAGAAATGGATTTAAAATTCAACTTCTTTTATTATTTTTCTCCTCCTCCCCTAAGTAAAGGGAGGGGGCCTATTTATAGCATTCTCAGGATGGAAATTTTGGTCTTTTGGTGCATGACTTCCTTAACCACCTGACCGGATGATCCATGCTGGCCCCCCTTGATTATAAGAGATTTTTTAAGAATTTAGATGTTGTAAGAACCTAAGAATTTAGCCATTTTAGGCTCGTTGGATTACTCTCATCGAGGCTCTCAGTTTGACTATAAATGTGTTAAATTTGAACTTTATTTGTTTATTTAGTTAATGATCTAAAACCTCAAATTGTGTTGTAACGACATTATTTGGGCTTGATTGAAACCATATTGAACTAATTTTGACATCATCAGATTATTCTTGTCGAGACAATCAATTTGACTATAAACTTACTGAAATCAAGGCTCGGATGATCTTAAGCCTTACAACACACGACACAATGAATGTATATAAACATATTTTGTAATCATAAAAAAAGAACATAAACAAAAAATGGGTAAAATAAGCAAGAAAGTACAATTTTATTCTATTTCATAAATGAAAATTCATCAATTGATACTCATAATTGAAGGGCAAATATAAACAAAATAGTAAACTGAAATGATAACGAACAAACAACTACCCAAATCCCAAATGAAATAAAATAATTTATACTACTAGAAAAGGCCATAGGTAAATCTAACAATAAACGAGTTGTTTATGTGATGATGATCCTACGAGCGACATGATAAATGCTATTATACAAAAGTATCAACATATAAGTTTGACAAATTTAAATTTAGTAAATAACAACTATATATATATATATATATTATCATCATGCATGCAGAAGATGTCAAAATTATAATTAGATCTCAGTAATACTCTAATGTTAAATTTTTATATCATATACTCTAAACAAATGAATATGTTCAATAATTTTAATAAAATTTACAATCGACAAAGTAGACCGCAACCAAAGGAAAGCAAATGACTTCTTGTAAAATAGTCACTCTGTGGGCCAATCAACCCGATTAGCCAAGATCCAAAAAAGTTTCACAGACTTACATTTCACTACACACAAGCATAAGATTGCAAATTTTTTGACATCTAAATTTATAACAATATGTCCCAAAATATGATTAATACAAGCAACAAGAAAAGCACCCATAACAATGATAGTATATTTATCCTCTAATAAATGGCAACTACTTACTTTAAGATGAACAATGTAAGGCTCCCAATATTTTTTGGGATTCAACCATAATGTTTGGTTTGCTTATTTCAATTAAATTATCGTCTTCTTATTGGTTTGCTTACATATCTAACATCTAAACTTGCAAATTTTCATTTATAACAACTTAGTACCATAATTATATATATATCACTCTAAAAAAATTACCAATAGTGACAATTTTAAGTGATACTAAGAATTTGAGGGTTATACGCGTAAATTTTGTGCAGAGTTGGGTAATTTTTTGTGATAATTTATTCTTTAATTTGTGTTATATGCAATTTTGTATTTCCCTTTAAACTCCACTTAAAAGCTACATATACTATACTATATTGATATTTGTTTGTACTTTCATTAACAGGCAAATAAACATGAAGGCATATAATTTCAGTTTTCCCAACAAAAAAAAAAAAATCAGAGGTTCCACCACACCACAGTAAAGATTGTTAAAGTTTATTTGTCTTTTTTTTTTTTTTTTTTTTTTTTCTGTTTTGGGGTTTTATTTGGGCGGCACAAATTGAATAGTGCAAAGGCCCAGCACCACTTTGTTGTAGTGAGCATATCTGATCATGCTGCAGAGAACCAAAAGAACTCACTTGGACCAGATCCAATTAAAAGGCAGACTGGACATAATTTGTTGCAGTCTGCTTGAAGGAGCAGCTGAAGTAGGTGATGTCACGGACCCATGTTGCATACGGGAGGGCACTTCCAATTCAATAGTTGTAATAGAAACTGTCATATTCAATTGGTGCGCCTGGTTTCCATGATTTTCATGCTGCTGCACCGGTAAAACTTGAGATGGTTGATGCTGGGGAGCATGCCCAACAGGATGCTGTAGCTGCTGTTGGCCTTGCTGCTGTACAGGAACCAATCTTGGCCTTCTATTTGTACTTAACAATCCACTTATTTGTTTCTCATAATAAGGAAGTTTTTCTTTGACTTTAATTGTAATACTACTTTTAGAGATCTGAAGGAGAGCTAACACGCGTTCCAGAAACATTTTGAACCTTCTCAATTTCTCAAAATTCTCAGATTGCTTTGCATGAGGCAACATCTCATCCTGTAATTCAAGGCCAAAAAGTTATAAAGAGAAAAAATCAACAAGTGTGCTAAAGTACACATTCTCCCGAGTCAGAATATTTATTAAATTCTTGGAAAGGAAAAGAATCAGATTAGCAAATAAGAACCTGTTGATATCGCCGGGAGATCTTCAGATAGAATTCCTGCATTTCAGCAAAATGCGCCTCTCTAAGGGCTTGTATCTGCCACAAATACATGTCTATAAGAATATAAAAGATGCAGCAAAATATGGCAGGTGAGAAGCTGATGTGATAAATGAGTAATTAAAAAAAAAATGCAACCACACTGATACTTCGGCAAAAGAAAAAAAATAGCTATATAAGTAGCATGCGTTCAAGAATAGGTTCTGCTTTTAATAGGCAGAACACTACAGAATTAACAAAGAATATATATAAAAAAAGGACTAGTAAATGGCCCTGCCTGCCCTCAGGACCTACAATGTGCTTTCAAAAGACCCCGACCTGATTATTTAGTGGTGTCAGCAATGCTTAATCCACCTATGCCAGCTACATTTTGAAGGACGAGCTTAGACTGGAAGACTGTAGAATCCATCTTGGTTTTCTACATCATTCCCAACACAAGTCGAGTTTAAAAATTTTGTTTCTAGATTTGTTAGAAAATGCATATATTGTTTCCACACATTATTTCATTTGAAATTTAAAATTGTTTCTCTTGAATTTAATTTTCTAAGAAGTTGTGAAAGCAGCTCCAATGGAAAATATGATAATGATGGACTGAGTTAAGTTAATTGGTCCTGTATGAAAGAGGGCTCAAGATATATCGATAACACCAGTAGATAGAATTATTATGGAAATTAAACTAACAAAAATGTTAACAAAATAAACATGGTTGGTAACTGTTAGAAATTATATTAAGAAATTAATTTATTCTTGTCAGAAATTTAATTTATTTTCTTGAATTGGAGTTATTTTCTTTCCTATTTTATGCTTTATGTTGTTTCTTTTATCTTCAAACAATTAATATCAATTGATTAATTGGAGATATAGTGTTATATCTTTCATTTCTTGTCATTTCCTTTTTATTGTGTTTCCTATTATCCCTATGGGAAGTGTGAAGAGAGGAACGCTCTTCTCTTGCCTCAGCTACCGCAATCGAGACTGCCGCTTGAAACGACGACTTATGTTTCTTCTCTGGTAGCCATCAACACCGGATGGAGATCTTCTTAGTAGTTTTCTTCCTAGCAGGTTTTCTCTCGACTGGTTTTTCTCCTGTGGAGAACTATTGCAGGTTTTCTGAAGGCAGCCGGATGCTTATCCCTCCGACAGGTGTTTTAGCCACCAGACCTCCCTCCCACCAAACCGATCTCCCTCTAGGACCGCCGGAGCAACTTCCTGCAGCCAAATATATCACCTGCAGGACCTCCTGATGCTGGCTCTCTCTCATGCACCCCTTCCCGCAACCGAAACTACATCTTGCTGACTTTTCAGCCGCCGGAATCTTCTAGTACAACCAGAAAAAATCCTTTCCTTCCTGCAAATTTTCTTAGTGGAGATGCATCTTTCTGAAGGATTTTCGCTACATCCGGATCTCCTTCCTGTTGGCGCTAGAAATTTCTGTAAGCAACCGGAACTTCTACCGATAGTCCCCATCCTCTGTAGGCCCTCCTCGGCTACTCACCATGGATGAGCCGACATCAGGTCTTGATGCAAGAGCAGTTGCCATTGTCATGAGAACAGTGAAAAACAGTGTCAACACATGAAGAACTGTTGTTTGTACTATCCACCAACCAAGCATTGACATATTTTAATCCTTGGATGAGCTACTTTTGCTGAAAAAAAGGGGTCCAAGCAATTTTTCTGGACCATTAGGCGAGAATTCTCAGAAGCTAATAGAATACTTAGAGAAAACTTTTGGAGTTCATAAAATCGATGATGGAGCCAACCCAGGAGCATGGATGCTGGAAACAAGTTCTCCCTCCATAGAAGCAATAATAAAACTTAATTTTGCAGAGACATGCAAATCTTCTCCACTGCACAAGCAAAATGTGACATTGGTTGGATAGCTTAGCAAGCCAATACCTGGCGTATCTGATTTTTACTTTTCAAACAAGTATGCCCAATCCAATTATAGCCAATTCAAATATGTGCATGGAAGTACCGATCAATGTATTGGAGGAGTCCGGAATACAATATAGCAAGACTAGGCATGGCCTCTGTCGCTGCTCTAGTGTCAGGTTTATGAGCTTTGATAGTTGCTCTACAGTACAACCACGTTCTACTGATTCCTCCGGACCATTTCCAACAGCAAGCCCTCCTCCAGAATCTTTCCTGCAGCAGACCCTCTTTCAAAACTTTTTCTGCAGCAGCCCCTCCACCAGAATTCTTCCTGCAAGAGACGCTTCTCCAGAGTTTTTTCCAGCATCAGGGCCCTCCTCCGGAGCTGTTTTCTATATCAGACCCTCCTCCGGAGCTTTTCCTGAAGCAGATCATCTACCAAAATTCTTCCTGCAACAGGCCCTCCTCCGGAGCCTTTTCTGCAACAGGCCCTCCTCCGGAGCCTTTTTCTGCTTCAGGCCCTCCTCCAAAATATTAATCTGTATCAGACCCTCCTCCGAAGCTTTTCTTGCAGTAGGTCATCGAACAAAATTCTTTCTGTAGCAGACCCTCAAGAGTCTTTTTTCTGCAGCAAGGCCTACCTCCGGAGTGTTTCTTTTTTTTCTACAGGCCATAACCTGCAGCTTTTCCTGTTGGCTATCAACTTTCCTACAACATTATTTGTAAAAGTCTTCCGCTTACCTACAGACATTGCAGAAACTACAGTCAAAAGCAACCACGATCAACTAAATACCCTTGGGGTTGACTACCAAGTACGGGATAAAGACTTCAAGTTCAACATCACAAAAAATCTTCCTCACCCATTGTTTAATATTTTTAAATCGAAGTAACATAGTTTTCAACCATGTTTCAACTTGAGAGGGAATGTTAGAAGTTATATTGAGAAATAATTTATTCCTGTTAAAAATTAAATTTATTTCCTTTGATTGTAGTTATTTCATTTCTTATTTTATGTTTTATGTAGTTTGTTTTATCTCCAAGTAATTAATATAAATTAATTAATTGAAGATATAAATATTATATCTTTCCTTTTCAGATACTTCCTTTTTATTTTCTTACTTATTCTAGGAGTCATGTAAGAGTTAATGATACCCCGTTTCATATCAATAATATTATTCAACATTATTCTAAATTTCAACATTAACAAATACACATATTGGAATTAATACTATGGGCTTCGAAAATTTGTACCCGACTTTTTTTGAGAGAGTTGTGGTTTCAAATCAAAATTTCATAAAACATATTAATTTTAAATAAGGTATTGTGCATAAACTTCACATTCGTTTTGCAAAGACTTTATGGTTCAAGTTTTCCATATACGAAGGTATCGCGCGATTAATTACACAAGAGAGAATTTTCAATTAAAATTAGCCATTATGAGCAAAGTGTTAGGTGTATCGTAATAGATCTCTTTTTTGGGTCTTAGGATGTGAAACTTTAACCATTTTTAGCTTAAAGTGAATGGTAGAGAGAAGGATGAAGAAGACGATCAAAATCTCATGATTCCATTGAATTGTTTTAGGCCTTGGTTCACTTAGCTAGAAAAGGTGAACGACCCAATTTATTGAAGAATACATGTTAGCAATTATGGTTTGCATCACTAAAAAGGTGTTGCAGACCTGGGGTGGATGTTTGTTTAATGAGAAAATTTTAATTTGACCTTAACTAACATAGAGCCTAGACAACAAGGCAACATCAACCAGAGATGTTGAAGGGAGGACGGGAAGGTTGACGGTTGTAGGAAACAATAAAGGAGAACAATGATGGAAGCAAAAAAGAAGGAACAACAGCAATTGTGAGATAGAGAGCTGGGACAACAATGGCAATGAATAGGAGGGAAGGGGAATGCGATGGCAGAAACTGGAATTGCAAAAAAAAAAACAATCGGGAAAGGGTATTCGGGGCAGCTGCAACAATGATGGGTGACGGGGAAGGATGCGGATGGGCAAAGGAAGGATTGTTGACCCTTAAAATTAAAGAAAAAGAAAAGATTAATTAAACTAAACTATTTATATCAGTTCAAGGAATAATCACTCCCGTTGTTTATTCCCTTTTTAAAAAGACAAATTCGAGGCTTTTGGATACAAAAAACCAGAGAACAAAATTCCGCTACTTCCCTCTGGCTGGAGTGGACCCCACTTCTTGTTGAAGCCGAAAACTAAAGAATAGCTTTGGCAACCCTGCCTAACTGAGTCGCGACTGGAGTAAACCGCAGAAGACAACCACAAGATCGCTGCAGCTGAGATTCCTGAACACCTCTCCTTCGCACGAGATCTAGCTAGGGACGACGTCGAAACACCTCGCCTACCCCTCTGCTGCCCGGTTCTCTCGCGAGACAGTCGCGATTAGCGCTAACTGGGACGGCGATGATGGGATTGCCGGCCTACAGGGACCCGGAACTCCTCACCCTATCGGTAAAGCTCTCATCTCCCGAATCACCGCAATACAAATATAATTAGCGCTAATTGGGAAGGCAACGATGGTATTGCGCGTACATGAACCTTCGAAGCTCCCATCTTTTGCTCTTCATCGTCATCCGTGCACCCTTCCCCATTTGCAATACGATCCTCAGCGGAGATCCTCGTCTCCCTGGGGTAGCCCCATACTTCCCCATTTGCAAGCTTAGCAGCACAAAATGGAGAAAAACCTGCACTTCTTCTGGAACACTCCTTGTTCCCCCTTGTTCGACTCTCAGCCTCACACATACGATCCCAAGCGGAGATCCTCGTCTCCCTGGGGTAGCCCCATACGATCACTTCTGAGAGTGATTCCTCTCTGTTGGGAGAAAAATTTGCGTACTTCTTACGCGTTCTGTTTGGGGTTATATCCGTGTTTTAGCGCTGTAACAGCTCTCTTTACCGTATCTCTAACTTATAAATAAGTTTAAATATATTTGTAGGTTTCAGATAATTATAAGAGGTATAATGCGAATATATCTCCTAATATCTAGGATATAATGCGGATATAACCTCCCAATACCTTCTGTATATTTCTGTTTTCAGATAATTATAAGAGGTATAATGCAAATATATCTCCTAATATCTGGGATATAATGCGGATATAACCTCCCAATACCTTCTGTATAATCTACTGACATACGCAACGCTGCGTACCTACATATTATATACTATATAACATATATTACACGGTGTTTATATATATATATATATATATATATCATATCAAAAATATTAGAGAGGAAGAGAAAGAATTGTGTGGTAATCCGTCAACTCATCGATCTTGATCTTATTCACCTGTTGTCTCACAAGGAAATGTAAAAGTGCATGGAAATCGTGCTCACATTTTTTATAACACCTACTTGTGTCTTATAGACCGATAGAGTGGAAAGTTTTCTTCTGGACGCAGTGTCTCACGACACTAACAAACGTGTCTTATAAATAGTTAGGCAGACAAAAATCTTGACACAAACCCTTTAAACGGAGACTAAGTTGGGAGGCTGCTGAATTTTATAATGATTTTGGACTTGCAAATATTCTTAAAAAATTAAATTATTTGGACTTCGAAAAGAAAAAAGAATGAAAATTAAAACAATAATCATAAATTTTGAATTAAAAGTCTCAAACCCGGTTATATTTGAAAGTTATCAAATAAAAATTGAAGTCTTAATGTAAATTAATTTTATGTGATCCATTGAAATATCATAAACTATAGCTAAGCTTGATTGGGGCTAAGCTTTGGGGCTAGCAATTTGACTTAAATATAAAAAATAATAAATTAGGGTTAAAGCTTAATTGGGTCTAAGCTTAGGGGTTGACATATTCACTCAAATATGAATACATAAATTTGAGCTAAATTAGAGAATATAAATCTCATTTTAAATGTTAAACTATGACTTATATGTCTAATCTTGCCCATAAATTTACAACATATGTGCAAACGGAGAAGATATAAAAAAAGAAGGGCCTAAAGTTAACATATGCATGAATCAACCTACTCATTCAAATAAGATGAATTTAAATAATTTCAAGTCTTATTCATGCTTTAAAATCATGCAAATTACTTAAACACATACAAAGTTGTCTAAAATAATCAAATACATGAAATATAAATGCATGCAAGTACTCCAACCAATGTATTGAATGCTCAAATACAAGGTTCAAAAATATTGTGTAGGCTAATTAGATTGTCTTATCTATAGAATAGGATTGTAAGTCCCGCCAACTAGTTCAATCTTCATCCTCACAACGACTAGAGTTGACGAGTCTAGTAATTTAGAAATAAACGTCTAAATCCTAAAATAAGAATTTATATGTCCAAATCACCTAATCTGATCCTCTTCCTTGTAAGGACATCAGTTGACAGAACTCATACGCTAAAATTCAACTAACAAAACTAAATGCCCTTTCAAATATAAAAGTTTAAAATGTTTAAGACTCTGATGATGGTTGCGTTGATTTTCAATTTCAATCGGAGGGGTCAAGTTTTAAATTATATTTCAAATCAAATTATAAATCAAGTTATCAAAATGACAAATCAAGACATTCAAATTAAAGCCAATTACCTAAAGAATTAAAGCAAATAAATCAAGACACTTTAGTCAAAATAAATCATTTAAAAGATAAAAGCAAAAAATCATCTACCCTCCGCAACAGTTTGTCGAGAGTGACAAAGTTTTGACTAACTTCAGCTCACAAAGAGGCAACGTTATATTAAGTGTATCCATATATTCACAATCAAAGCAATCGTATGTCAGTAAGAGCGTGACTCGAGTCCTCTGTTAGCATGATTTTGCCATCAAATGACACCACAAAATAACGGTTACGATCAGAGCCCTCTGATCGAATAAATTCCGCCAAATTACACCATTATATTACAATCATGACCCAACCCGTATGTTCCTAAATGACTTTCTATCATTTGATTTGTGAATAATAAGATTACAATTGATTGACACAAAGTTTTCTGTTAGCTAATGTCAACTTAAATTTGTCCCCTTACACAAATATCCACCCCAGATCTACAAGAATACCTTGCACGACACGGCTCATGGTTGCTGACAAGGATCTTTCAGTCAGGTTAGGTCAACCACCTCTTCTGACCAAGTAGATCAGGGATCATGACGATCGGAGATGACGAAATCGTGAGATATTGATCGGAGTTCGACTTCATTTACACATTATTCGCTTTAAACTTCAAGTGATAGATTTTACAATTTAAAATATTATATGATTGCTATTATTATATGCTAAATATTTAATTATTAATGACTAGCGTAATCAAAAGTGCTCCTGTTATCGTGAGGGGTAATTAATTATATGGGCTTGCGCCTATCAGAACCCTCGAACCCCATATTAAAAAGTCATCACAAAATGAGGGTGAAATGTCAGGGTAGTGTCTTATTTATAATCCAATATACCTTCTAAACATTTGACCATCTAAAGTTCTCTCAAATAAAAAATAAAAATAATGCAGAAGTTCTCAAGGAGCGGTTGAAAATATTCAGAGCCCGTAAGGATAATCACTGCATCGAAAGCGAGATCCAACCTGAGCACCATTTGAACCTTGAATACAGGCCTAGAAGAGAAAACCTGAGACGCCCATGCTTGAATTGAACAAAACTCACAACAAAACTAACCCTAAACTCCCACAATAATAAATACATGATAATAGGATAACAAGGAGTGGCACAAGAGGGCTGACTAACTCCTCAAAAGGCCTTAATCGGTTTGGTTCAGGCACTAGACACGACTCATGTGTCGTCCAACATCGCAGATGGGACACCCGCATCAGTTCAAATTTTAAAAAACCGCCTCTATTAATGTTGCTGGCACTTTCTGATGGACAAGTTGATCATTGAGTTAAATTATTGTCTTTCAAGAATGTCCTTTTCATAAAGTGTCAAATTTTCTATTAAATTCAATAATCTAAATAACTTTTTATTTGAATGTAAATTCATAAATTGTTAGATTAATGAAAATGCACCAACTAAAAAAAAAGAGAGTGTACAATTTCTAACAATTTTCAGGTACTACTTAGCTAAGAATTTTTATAGTAATAGATATTAAATAATGCAAGCCTCTCTTATCTTCTTGGTTTTTTTTTTCATTGTCGCCACTTAATGACACCTTCAGGATTTTCCCATTGGCGCCTTTTTCTCCACCACTTGCATCTCAACCTTGGGTACCGAAAAGATCGAAGTGGCAAATTTTGAATATCCCAGGAACCCAACAGGAAGGTTTTTAAAACATTTTTATAACGTCTGATTGCCTTAAAACGTCTAATGATGACGTAACAACAGCAATAATAGACGCTGACATGACAAGAATATAACAATTTGGTATTGAATTCTACTCGAGACCCTAAGAGCCTCGTGCAATAGGAGCACTCAAGGAGGGAATCAAACAATATTCACCTAAAGATATTTGCATTCTAGGATATAGCCAAAGAAATCACAAAATCTGCTAACTATGGTATGCGGTAAGAAAAAACAAAGAACATTGATGTATCACTATGATTTTTTTCACGCAAATAATAAATAAGTTGAAAAATCATTCTCACTTTTAGATAAATCTCTTCTTGCCAATCAATCTGCACCATTATGTGCCCCGTTTGAGCTGTTGTATCCATTGATGCTGATAAGAGAAAATAAAGATTGTTAGAGAAAATAAGGAGTTGCACCACACACAATAAGAAAATCAGAAGTTGCAGCACACCACAGTAAAGATTGTTAAGGTTGGTTTGTTGGGCAGGACTAATTGAATTCTGCAAAGGACCAACACCAATTTGTTGTACTGATCCCACCGAACCTTGTTGCAGCGAACCAAAAAAATTCACTTGGACATGATCCAATTCAAAGGCAGACTGGACTGAATTTGTTGCATTCTGCTGTGTTGCGGGATCAGCTAAAGTAGCTAGTGTCACGGACCCATGTTGCATTCTGGAGGTCACTGCCGATAGCAGCACCTGGTTTCCATGATTTTCATGCTGCTGCAACTGTAAAACTTGAGATGGTTGATGCTGGGGTGAGCTTTGAGCTTGAGCGTGTCCAACAGGATGCTTGAGCTGCTGCTGGCCACGGCTTCTAGATATATTTAACAATCCAAGTATTTGTTCCTCATAATAAGGAAGTTTTCTTTTGAAGGTAATTTTAATACTACTTTTAGAAATCTGAAGGAAAGCTAGCAAGCCATCCAGCCACAATTTGAACCTTTTCAATTTCTCAAAATTATCAGGTCGCTTTGCAAGAGGCAACATCTCAGTCTATAAGGCCAAAAAGTCGTAAAGAAAAAAATCATCAAGAGTGCTAAATATACATTCTCCAAAGTTAGAATATTTATCAAATTCTTGAAAAGGAAAAGAATCTGATGAGCAAATAAGAACCTGCTCATATCGCTGGGAGATCCTCAGATGGAATTTCTGCAGTTCAGCTAAATGCGCCTCTCTCAGGGCTTGTATCTGCCACAAATACATATCTATAAGAATATTAAAGATGCAGCAAAATATGGCAGGTGAGAAACTGATGTGATAAATGAATACCTCAGAAAAAAAAAAAAAAATGCAACCACACTGATACTTCCGCAAAAGGAAAAAAAAAAGTTTTGAGTAACATGCCTTCAAGCACAGGTTCAGCTTTTAATAGGCAGAACATTACAGAATTAACAAAAAATATAAAAAAAAAAGATTAGTAAATGACCCTGGGCTCAGGACCTTCAATGTGCTTTCAAAAGACCACGACCTGATTATTCATTGAGCTTAAGTTATTGTCAGAAATCCCTGATTCACCCATCCCAGCTACATTTAGAAGGTCGAGCTTGGACTCTGGAAAACTGTAGAATCCATCTTAGTCAAAAAGCAATATAGAAAATATATATAGTTTTCTTCATCATTCCCAACACAAGTCGAAATTTAAAAATTTTGTTTCTAGGTTTGTTTGAATATGCATGTATTGGACCAACACATTATTTCTTTTGAAATTTAAAATTTTTCCTCTTGAATTTAATTTTCCAAGAGATTGTGAGCTTCTAAGACAAAATATGATAATGGACTGAGTTAACTGTAGTGGTCATGTATGGAAGTGGGCTTAACATATATCAATAACACCAGCAGATATAATTAATGGAAATTAAAAAGAACAAAAGGTACCAAAAAAAAACATGGATGGTAACAAATACACAAATTGGAATTAACACTATGGGCTTCGAAAATTTGTATCCAGCTTTTTGAGAGAGTTCTGGTTTCGGATCAAATTTTCATAAAGCATGTTAAATTTTAAATAAGGCTGCACATAAACTTCACCCTCATTTGGCAAAGACTTTATAGTTCAAGGTTTCCATAGGCGCAAGGTACCATGATTAATTACCCCTCCCGATGACGAGAGAGAATTTTCAATTAAAAATTAGCCATCATGAGCAAAGTGTTTGGTGTATAGTAATGGATCTTTTTATTTTTTGGACTTGGGATGTGAAACTTAACCACTTTTAGCTTAAAGTGAATGGTGGAGAGAATGATGATGAACACGGTCAACATCCCATGATTCCATTGAATTGTTTTAGACCTTGGTTCATTTAGCTAGAAGACATAAACGATCGAATTGAGTGAAGAATAAATGTTCGCAATTATGGGTTACATCATCTAAGAGGGTCTTGTACACTTAGGTGGATGTTTGTTTAATGAGACATTTTTAATTTGACCTTAGCTAACATAGATCCTAGTGCTTTAATTATCTAGTGCCTTCTATAATTCACTGCTTAAGAGATTTAGGTAATTGGGAAACTTTCAAGCTCTATTTGTAGCTCTAATTTACTGGTGTTATTTTACGACAAATCACACGATCAAAAGACTATTGTGATAATTATATCTTTTTTCAATGCTATTCGACAAAATCACAAAGACAGAAGACACATTTCACATCATTACTAGCACAAGATGTTTAAAAGTGACAATAGGGATACACATGATATCACATTGAGATTTTGTGAGCTTAAATCAATCTTAAAATTATCAATCTCAATAGACTGTTATAGAGAGTAGATGAAATAATGTTTTAAGCTTGATGAGAATAAATTTCATTAGAAAATTTTCTTTATATATCAAGATTTAAAAAAACTCGACGGAAATGTCGCATCCAATAAACATTTTTTTCAGAAAAATCATTTTTTGGAATGTTTAAATGATTTCGTTTTATCATTTTTGGATCTTGTCAACTCAACTCATTTGCTTGTAGAGCATTGAGTCTGTGATTTGCAAAAAGTTCAAATTCATCATAACATTCTTTGTATTGCCAAACTTATCGACTTTACTCACTTTACTCCCACTTGTAGAGGACAAAACCATTAGGTTAAACTCATTAGTTCTTATCAATGGCAAACAAATTTTATTTTACCAAATGAATTTCTTTGTAAAAGACTTTAGTAGACATATTTAAATAAAAATCGAAATTACCTTTTGAGATTTGCAATGTTTAATTATTATTCCATAATAAACAGCATACTGATACAAAGTCAACTCCAATATTCATGATGTGGAGGATCAAGTTTACAACCCCCATGAGAATGCATGTATGTGCCTAGTTGAAGTTTAGGATTTTGAAAATAAGTTTGAAATTTTTAAAATGATAACATGCATTTTAGAGCAAGTGCACGCCTCTAGGGACAAGGAAAATTGATTTTATCGGAGTTTAGGCAGCGCAACATTCTCTAACTTTATATTCGAACAAGTTAGCGAAATCACATGCAGACAAATTTGTCAATTCTAGTGCATTTTCACATTATCCAATGCGCTTCCATCATTTTTAATGCAGCTATGTAATGCACTTACATGACTTTCAATACACAGGTACGGTGCATTCACGCATTTTTTATGCATCTGCACAATTTTTAGTGCACTTGCGAGATATATTTGCATAATTTTCAATACATTTGCACAGTGCACTTGCGCAGCTTTAAAATGTTTTCATGGCGTATCGACGCGCTCTCAAGAATTTTAAAAGTTATCTCTAAATACATGAATGTGATTTATCTGCATTTTCATTTTATATGCTAATGAATTTATCATTAAGACGCGCGCAATATTTCATTTTGAAGTTTAGAGACCACCCATCTTATTTGTTTCAGATTCAATGGTAATTATCATAAATTGGAATTATTTGGTAATGCAAGATATCACGACCCAGCCTAGGGCTTAGAATTAACCAAGACAGGTACAAACGATCAGACGGTGTGAATTAAAATTTTCTATAATCGTCTACAATTTATTAAATAAAATGGACACTACAAAATTATATTAAAGCGTTACAGCTAAAATTACATTGTTGATAATTGTCCACGTCTTCTATAAACATCTTATCTTCTATCTCTCATCTTTTAATATTTTAATTAAACCTGAAAAGTTAGTTAAAACAACTGTTAGCTAAACGAATCAGTGAATATTCATACAAATAAACTACAACTATACAAGAAAAATAAATAGCAACATGCATGTCAATTAATCTTTTTTATAAATCAATACAAACATTTGACATGAATTTCAAAGAAATCTGTCATTATCGTATCGATATCATTTAATATCTATGTAACCGTCACATGAGGCATCGTCTATAAAAAATTGTCAATTAAGACACATCAATATCAATATACTTCTCTATTTACGTGCATGGACACATTAGTATTCCCCCATTAGTACCATCAAGGGATGTTCCTTCATAATCAATCATGCACATGCAAATAGTCAACATAAACGTATCTATTCATTGCATGCAATCATAATATATAAAACATGCACTAAAATGCATGAACAAAAAACAACAACATTTGCTACGATATGCCCAATAAAGAAAAGAATAACTCAATTAAAATAAAACATCTACATTATCATCAACTACAAAAATTTTTGTGAAGAAACAAATTATTATTATAATTTAAAAGTACAAGTACTCACCTCGACAAAAGACAATCTGCTTGTTCTTGACATCAATTCTTCTAAAATCAGAAGCCTAAAACTTAGTATAAAATTCATTAATTTAATTACGCTTAATTTAAATTCAATAAATATATTTTTATATTAATATATTATTATTATTATTATTCAAAATATAAGTATTAACATTCTTAATAAATATTTTAAATAAAAGATTTAAATTTACCCTAATCACGCGAGAAGAACTTTTCTTCCTCCCCCACACATGACACAGGTCCTTTGCTCACAAGAGAACCTCAGTACTTTCCTTCATGTGCACGATAATGGTCGGCTCGACCAAACTCCTCTAGTCAGAACTCCAAAAGCATGCACACCCTCTCCTCTTCGCACTCAAAGGACCTCCTTCGCCAGACAGCGACGCCGCCGACTCCTTCCTTGACCGAGACACCGCCCCTAACCCTTGTGTTGTTTCTTCAGGTATGCTACTCCTCCTTCACCCTTCTCTGCCCTCTAATCGCATTCCCATCTGATGCACAATTTATAGGCGAATTCCTTTCTTCCGCTTCTCTGTTGTTCACTTCCTCTTCCTAACTCCTCACCGTTGACCTTATTTTCAACAAGGTCTTGGTTTTTTTCTCCTAGAACCTAAGATCTAGCTTTAGGAGATTCTTATTGACCATCATATAGGACTAGTAATAAAACTCACCTCACATAGAACTTCGAACCACCTCTTGACCCATTTTTTGTGAAAACTCACATGAGTGGTCCCAAACACTCAACTTTTAGTTGCAAGGGCTAAGGACCAATATGTGGAGAGTCCAAAAATGAGTTCCCATAAAATCAGTAAGCATTAGGTAAACCCTTCGTGGCTCGGCTATGCAAACGCCACAATTCACGCATTCGACTCGCATCAACATAACAATTAACGTCACTGACACTTACATAAATTGCATAGTCAATTTAACCAAAATCAATTTTCAAAATAATCAGTCACAAACCCAAAATTTGAAGAAAATTTAAATTTAATGCATTTTTGGCTAGATCACCGACAAACTTATTTGAACAACTCTGGATGACGAAACAGACCATATGAACACATCCGAAACGTTAATTTTAGCCGAAAAGAACACTTATATTGACATGATTTGCGCGCGAGTAAACGACACGAGTATCAATGCACATAAAGATTTAATTAAAAGAGACGGGTTCAGGCTCAACCTGGTCCTGATTCGAGCTGAACACAGGTCAATCATATCAGGTTGGGCCGATAACACAATTCATAATGTTAAATTTCAAATAAATTATTAAATTCTGTCTTAATTGAATATAATTAAGAGTTCGTTTGAGACAGTTTATAAATGTATGGGTGTTTTTGAAAACGCAGCGGTATCGTTTGAATCGTGTGTTTTGACCGTTTATCCGTAAACGAGGTTTCAATTTTATACTAAATGCGGGCCGCAGGTCAAACTCTGCGGTCGATCCGTAAACTAAGTTTAGGGTTTAGAGTTCAGGTTTAGGGTCTGTTTGGGGCAGTTGCAGCT